CTGATATTTAACAATGTGCATAAAAAACAAATGAAATCCATTATTTAACAAAATAAAAACCTGGTAATCATCGAATTAATATAACATTCATTAAGCCCTAAAAAAGCAGCAATGAGTAAAGGATGCCAAAAACAGTCATTAAGAAAAATAACTTTAGAAGAAAAAATTAGAATAAGAATGTCATGTACATTTTAAAAGAAGATTATGTTGAAGCACTTGTGAGCGCCATTATTGCCAGCAAGCTTTACAGCAGTGGCTTTAAAGACTCCAGTGCTGAAGTCCCTCAGTATCTTGGTGGAGAATTCATAACTTGGTATTTTCCTTGGATGTCGCCACTTTTCTCCATCCACAGTGTAGATCCCATGACCCAATAGATCTGCAAAACACAAATTAAACAGCTTTTGACAATAGAAATCAGCAGAACACCAAACAAAAAAACAAAAAATACACTTTTGAAAGGCGTGGTGGAGGTGGTCGTCGTTTTGAAGACGCGGCTGGCTGGTGTGGTGGTTAAGGTTGAATAGACTTTGACAGAGAGAAATATGATTAGGAGAAATTTTGATTGTTAGGGTTTGTAAAATTTGGGAGAGAATATGATTTAGGATTGAACAATTTGGGAGGGAATTTGATTTCTTGTATATTTCAATTTGGCTTGAAAAGTTTTTTTTTTTTTTTTTTTTTGATAGTTTTGGGGAAATGATGTGGCGTGTTGATGATAACGAGGTTACCACGTCATTAGTAAAAATGGTTAGTAAGCTTCATTAGTAAGGACAATATTACTCTATTTTTTGAGTAATATTATTTGTATAAATTCTTATACAAAGATGATTCATATAAACTGGTGTGATAGGTCACAAAGCATGTTATATAGTATTGAGATTCACGTAATTTAATATTATATTAATGTTATATGGACTCTTATGTCACGTAGTATTAATATATTGTATTACGTCATTTTGTACAAATTCTTTGTATAAAGAGTTATACAAAGAGTTTGTACAAATAGCTTTGTTCCTATTTTTTTATGTTAATTCTTAAGGTAATGTTATTTGTACAAATTGACATGATATGTTATATAACATGCCATATGGTGTTAAAGACCACATAACTTCATATTACATGTGAGTCCTTATGTTATGTGACACTTATTTAGTGTATCACATCAACCTTTATATCATGTGACACATATTTAATGTGTCACGTCAATTTATACAAACTCAATTTCAATTTGTATAAATAGCTTTACCCTGATCCTTATCACCATGAAGAAAGTTTTCAAACTTAACCACATGGTAATGTCAAATTTATGTTCTTTATTGCTTGCCAGCTTGGGGAATCTTCTACTGGGACAAAGAAATCAAGTTGAGCCCCTAAATTTCAATACAAGTGGCCAAAGATGACCCACAAAAGAGAGCCAATTGAGGGATGTATTAACTTCATGTTTTGATCATATGCATGAGCAGTCAGCCCCACATCACATTTTGCCCTAAAGTTGGCATTATAGGCAGTACCACCTTCTTTATTGATGGTGATTGAAAAGGAATCCAATGAGTGAGCAAAAACTTAAAATAAAGAAAATAAAGATGAACAACATTATTAGATAAGAAAGCGAATAGAAAAGGGGTTTTGGAGCTCAACTTTTTCTATACATTTGCTGTTTTGGTAACATTTTTGAGACCAGAAGAAAGGCAGTAGTAGATAGCAATGAAGTTCTTGTTCCAGTGTCCATGTTGCTCTTGTTTCTGCTTCATGAAGCCCAAAAAAGGCAAACCAAAGGTGAAGGATGCTAAAGCAGAGAAGAAAGAAGAGAAGAAAGAAGAAAAGAAAGAAGAGAAAAAGGAAGCCTAAAATGGCAAACTGATGCAGGGGAACTAATGTAATGTTTAATTCTCTTTCTTTTTCTGTTCTCCTTTACTTGCTGAAGTAATTTGTCTGCAGCATTTTTGACAAGAGTTCATACGAAATGCTGGCTTGGGATCCTTCTAAAATTGTCTATTGCTTCTACTTCCAATTGCAGTGTATACACATAATAAAATTTAATTAAAGGTTATGTTTGGTGTAATGTATCAAAATTGTGGTCATTTCTTGCATGGATTGTTTGGTCAGTAAAAGATCTATTTGTTTGAGACTGCCTTCAATTTTCTCATAATAAATGCTTACAGAATTCCATTTTCTTGTAACTATAGTCTGCATTGCATCCAAATTTAACAAGCTGTGAAAAATTTGCGACCCAGATTCCAAAAAAGGCCACTGTAACAACACACATAAAAAACCAGAAAAATAAAACTGTGAAAGCATTAAAGTAGAATCCCAGATATAAGAAAGTAACCCGGAATGCCGAAAAAGAGACCTGGATATGAATGTTCAGAAGCAGGAATTTTAGATCTCCACAACAGAAAGTACCCCAAAAGTAACAGGAAATTTATCTCTGCAGACAACACAAAGAAAGTTTTAAGCAAAAAACGGATATTTGTATGAGTTAATCTTTCATTCAAAACAAATATGTTATTAAAATTCTGCAGAAAGATCAACCCAGTAAAAGATCCCTTCTGCTGCAGGACATACTTTCTCTGAAGAAAGCAATACCGATTCAGAATCTCCACTGGTCACTGCAGAGATTGGAAATATTTAAAATAAGGGCAAATTCCTCTGAATTTTTAATCTAGCTAAAATCATGCATGTAACCAAATTGGATGATGGAAATACTTCGACGGAGAGAGTCCAGGTCATTCAGGGCAGTGGCGGATCCAGAAATTTTGTTTAAAGTGGATAAAAAAAAACTAATTACATATTAATATTAATATTTTTTAATATTTTTATTAAAGTAGGTTAAAATCTAAAAATTATATATATTAATATTTTAAAAAAAAATTTGAGGGGTTCACCCAAAAAGGGGTTGGATCCGCCCTGATTCTAGAGTATTCTTAATATACTGTTAATTTAAGACAAACTGACATAATGCTATTTAGATTCTAGCATATTATACAAATTTGCCAAGAATCATCACGTATTAGTTATCATCTAATTAGAAGTTCATGAATAATATCCTTATACTTTGCACTCCTAAGAAGAGGAAGTAGAGGTGGCAGAAAGCCAGGGCCCGGTCCCAGGACCAATTCTTATAGGACCAGTCTTGGGACCGGCTTGGGCCTTGGAGAGAGGTGACCGGGCCCAGGCTGGTCCCTCCTCCAACACCCGGGCCTGGAACCGGTCCTGAGCTTGGGGTTTCAATTAATTTCAAAAGACCCCCTAACAAATAACCAAAAATCATAATAAATTTAGGGGTTAAATGTAATTTAAAAAAAAAAAAAGACAGTTGACAAACAAATTGACCTTTGCTAGGGGGCAAGTGTAATAATACTTTTTTTTTTTGCACTTCCCCCCACGCCTAACCTGTAAAAAGGCCTAATTTCCACCTATTTTCCTCACAACCCTAACTCCCATTCTGTCTACTCCAATTCTCAAACTATCTTCAATTTCATCTATTATTCAATTTATTATTTATATTTATTCATTATTCAATTTATTATTTAATTTCATCCATTTTAGTTATTTATTATTTTATCATAATGGATTCCTCAAATTATGTATTTAGAGGATCATCATTACCATACGATTCTAATGAGTATTATATTCCAATTCCTCCATTCATCCAAAAAATGAAAGGATTCGATTCATTTTCACCATTTCAAAATGCATATTCAAAAACACAAATTTCGACAATGTTAATTAATAATTATATAAATAAAAATTTATTTAATTGTTTAAGTTTAAATTTAATTTGCACATTGCGAACATTAACGAAAATTAAATTATCTCTTTAAATTAAAACCTATAAATTTATGACCATTCATTTATATTTATTTACTAATTAATTAAAAATTTAAAATCACCTCCTGATAAATTACAAAAACCCCTCTTACATAAAAGTATATAAAAAATTAAGAGGCTAAATGGATATTTATCAGGCCTGCATAGGACCGTTCCCAAGACCGGTCCTATACAGGCCAAGCCCGGTCTTGGGACCGATCTCAAGACTAGTTCTGAACAAGCCAAACTCAGGCCTGAGACTGGTCGAGATCCTCACAAAAATGACAGGCCTAGCACGGGTAATAACCAATTTGGCTCGACCCTACCCACCTCTAAGAGGAAGTACAACAACAAATGATTTAATTGTCAAAATCATTCAATTAAGGAGCTAAAACAAAAACAAATCTTAACTATTTATATATGATCAATACCGATTGCTTGTTTCAAGTTTTCTTTCAGGCTCATATATATATATAAACTCGAGCTATAAAAAGTACTTAAAACTGATTCGCATATTCACATACGAATTACATATAGTATAAGACTTGTATATATATATTTTTTATAATTTTATAATTGTATATTCATAGAATTTTTTTTAAAAAAAGAAGAAAAAATGTAACACTTCTCCAAGAAATATTACTTTAAAAAAATATTTTGATTTTTAACATTTAGTGGACATAAATGGTCTCCTGTGATTAAGAAATTAAGGGACATATATGTTAAGACAAACGGCAAAGACAAAATAAAAAATTAACCTCAGGTCCAATTCTGATGATCTCATTGAAGATAGAATCCTTGTAAACTGCAGTCACTGGGGCAAGGAGACAAAATTTCATGCATACAGTTCAAGAGATCATCTTGAATTTTACTTCTATTTTTATTTTCTTTATTGCTAAGTCAAAGTCTATATGTTTGTCACAAGTTCCAAGGAAAAATATAAAATATAGTAAAATAAAAAACCATTTATTTTGGTTGGATCAACTGATATCTCACAAAGAATAATACTTTGAGTACTAATGAATGGGTACTAATCTGTGTACTAACTAAAGTATAGTACGGATACTATACATATAATACGAATACTATATTTTAGTTAGTACACATATTAGTACCCATCCGTTAGTACCCATCCGTTAGTACCCATACATCACTCTCTCACAAAACATTATAAATAGACAAAACATATCTAAGTTGTAGATTTTCTGTGTTGTGTCTTTCGTAATAATCCTTCATGCTTTCACCATCACCATCTTGAAGATAAGAAGATAATTAGAGAAGATGTTATCAGACACAAGTTTAGATGGTGGCACACCCTTGTTAGAGGCGGCAGGTGATAATCATGGAGAACAAAGTTGGTGGAAGAAAGTTCTGGTTTTGGACGTGGAAGAAGCCAAAAATCAAGTCTTGTTTTCACTACCAATGATTCTTACCAATGTTTTCTACTATGCAATCCCTTTGGTTTCTGTCATGTTTGCCGGTCACCTCGGCCAACTCGAGCTTGCTGGTGCCACTCTGGCCAATTCTTGGGCCACTGTCACTGGTTTCGCTTTCATGGTAAGATTCAATCACTTCAATTAATATTCATACACATGATTTGAGTGGCTCTAGTATGCTTTTGTTTTTGTTTCTGATTGATATTTATGGTTGGTTTTTGCCTTATTTAGACGCAGTTGATTGGCTTCAATTATATTTATGTTACGTTGCTTCAATGGAAAATCTACCAGGTTATCAAAAATCCAATAGAAATGCGAATTTTATTGGTGAATTAGCTCTTTATAAAGAAAGTTTTTTTTCCCCTCCCTAAATTTAAAGAAATAAGAGTTGGTTTATGTATATTCATTGACATTAATTTTTGGGTGGGGGGGGCGCAATCTCTCAGTCTTTCTCTTTCAATATATGTAAACTTTCATTTGCTTTCACCTGGTTTCTTATGTTGCGATTACATATCAATTTGCTTGGTCATAAGTTGTAATTGAGATTATGGCCATTCTGCAATCAAGGGAGTATTTGGTGATAAATCATAACGTAAATGTGAATTTACAACGAATATAGAGTCTATTTGATCTTTAGAATTTTACAATCATAATCTATAGGATCAGTATGCAACTTCAAGGAAACAATTATAAAACTGGGAAGTCCATGACTAGTATAATCTATATGCTTATTCTCTTCTTGTTTCTCCTAGACTTTCTGTTTCTTTTCGGTGCTTCTTTGAGTCTTTGACGATGTCTTCTCTGTTCTTATTTTAGATAGGGCTAAGTGGAGCACTTGAAACACTTTGTGGTCAAGGATTTGGAGCAAAAATATACAGAATGTTGGGAATATATCTACAAGCATCATGCACTATATCCTTCTTCTTCTCGATAATCATATCCATCTTCTGGTTCTATACAGAGCCTATACTTGTTTTATTTCAACAAGATCCCAGTATTTCAAAACAAGCTGCTCTCTATATGAGATATCTCATTCCTGGTATATTTGCATATGGCTTTTTACAGAACATCTTAAGGTTTCTTCAGACTCAATCCATTGTTATGCCAATGGTCTTGTTCTCGGCGCTACCACTGGGCATTCATTTCGGCATTGCATATGCTTTAGTTCATTGGACATCGCTTGGTTTCAAGGGAGCTTCCCTAGCAGCTTCAGTTTCGTTGTGGATATCAGTCCTTGTGTTGATAATATATGTGTTTTCTGCAAAAAAATTAAAGTATACATGGGAAGGATTTACTTTTGAATCATTTAGTTTCATCCTCACAAACTTGAAAGTAGCCTTGCCCTCTGCAACAATGGTATGGTAAGTGTCCCAAATTTTCATCATTTAAGTTACAAAGTCACTGTTCTTTGATTTCAAATTCTAAGAGAAGTAAAGCCTCATTTAACTAAATTGTTTAGAATCATGCATGCTCAATCATGTTTGTCTAAAAGAGAATCAGATTTACTGCCTCTCTAGCTCAAATGTTTGAAATATGGAAATCTTCTTTGTGTTAGTCCTGTAAACATGAGTTCATGACTTAGAAAGATTTCAACCTTATTAAAAACAGTTTAAGAATTCCATTTGCCTGAAAAAAAAAAGCAGTACAAAAGTTCATTTAAACGAATTATAGTAACATAACCAAGGGATTTATTGTACCAAATTAAATTAGCCTTAAAATCTTACTCTTTGATCAATTGGAAGCAATAGTAGTGTCGAAAAGAGATCAAAATATCATCACACCCCCTAAATCTTACTAGTTATTTATTTATCACCTTTGTACTTTTCCAGCCTGGAGTACTGGGCCTTTGAGATTCTTGTGTTCTTAGCTGGAGTGATGCCAAACTCAGAACTAACCACTTCGTTGATCGCAATGTGGTACGTTTCACTTTTTTTTTTTAATATATATCCTACATAAATTTTTTTTCCTGTCTCTTTTGTGGGTTGTGATTGCCTTTTTAATTTTCTGGTTTTTATGATCTTCAGTGTGAATACAGAAACTATTGCCTACATGATTACCTATGGTCTTAGTGCGGCAGCAAGGTTAGTTGATAGAAAATAAAAAATTTCTAGCGCATTGTCTTTTAGAAATCTAAGAGAAACGAGACTTATATTTTTGTGACAGCACAAGGGTGTCAAATGAATTGGGAGCAGGAAATGTCAGTCGAGCTAAGAATGCCATGGCTGTGACTCTTAAGCTGTCTGTCTTCCTCGCTCTTATAGTTGTTCTTGCTTTAGCTTTCGGTCATAATATCTGGGCTAGCTTCTTCAGTGACAGCACCGAAATCATAAAGCAATTCGCCTCTTTGACGCCCCTTCTTGCAATCTCGATAACCTTTGATTCTGTGCAAGGTGTCTTATCAGGTTTGTATCATCCAATTTTTCTACAATAATATGCAAGGTTCCAAACATATAAATATTTCAATCGTCAATGCAATAGAATTTATGGTGTAGGTGTGGCAAGAGGATGTGGTTGGCAACACTTGGCTGTGTGGGCAAACTTAGCAACATTCTATTTCATTGGCATGCCAATTGCAGTACTTCTTGGATTTAAGTTAAAACTTTATGCTAAAGTGAGACCAGATTTAAATTATTTTGTTCAGAACTTCTTCATTTCTCATCTTTCAGTTACTGATATTGAATGTTTTATTTGGTACAGGGTTTGTGGATTGGGTTGATCTGTGGTCTCTCTAGCCAAGCCAGCTCCCTCTTATTGATTACGTTGTGTCGAAACTGGACTAAATTGGCCACTCTTGCGAACAGAGAAAAAGAAACCCCAAGCCTTATTTGAAGAATGTATAGACGAGGATGCAGGAATAATATCAGATTTTTGGAGGCCACGCCAAGTTGTGAAACTTTTTCTCAACTCAGCTCAGAAATATAGTTTGATATGGCGGCCATGCCGTATGCCAGCTTCTTCTGACTGATTAGGCAGCCAACAGTGAACAATCCATTACAAATGAAAGGAAAGAAGGGGTTTGGTACTAACCAAATCATATTGACACGATATTTTTTCTTTTCTCATGGAGAATGACCCAAGAAAATCTGATGATCTCATTGAAGAGAGAATCCGTGTAAACTGCACTCACCGGAAAGGAGACAAAATTTCATACATAATCTTTGTTTTGCTCAGGGGTTTTACTTGACCCTGCAAGGTTTAATCAAATACAAAAGTCCCCCAGAATTTCACAAATAATAAAAACCCCTGTTCTTAGTGAGTTGTTAATATTAATAGAATGATGAGTTTATTTACAACAGAAATACTACATTCACAAACGTGACATGTTAACTTGTAATTGGTCAGTTCACAATGAGTTTCGTCTGATCAAATACAAACTGATCAATTGTAAGCTGTCACGTCAACGTTTGTGAGAATTGTTTGACAAATTATCTTTATTTTATTTATAAATATTTATCTAATTATCTCTCGAGATATCAATCAAATATGAGCCTAAAGCTTGACTCGCCTTGACCATACAAACTCAGGCTTTTTTTCTTGAATTTGGGCCTAGATTAAAAAAAAAAAAAGAGCGAAATTATCAGTTCTCCACTAATGGATTAAAAAAGTCTTACTTTTTAATAAATTTTGTAATGATAAATTTATCTTTACTTTAATTTTCTATTTTCTATAAATGCTTTTGACACTCTATTGTTATCTAAAGTTTTGTTTTATGAATAATGATAGGTATATAATATAAATGAAGAAAATGAAATGTTAACTCTTTTAAAATAAAAGAAATGGAATGAAGGACATTTGTTAAATTTATGGGGTACCATAAGAAAAATAATTTAACTTTAAAATTTTGAAATAAAATATATTAAGAAATGAGGCTTTTTTAGTTCATTAATAGGTGTCGATAGCAGCTCCACTTTTGAAAAATTTAAGGTCAAAGTAAAAGCCCAGCCCATTGTTAATAATCGAGCCTGCACGGCCCATAATGCACTAACCTGCTCAGGCTACAGAGGGCCCCAACTAGCCCACATGCAGGCCTACATAACATTCGAAGGTTTTAGAATTTAGAATGAAGATATAGTAGAAGAAAAGCAATGGATGGAGCTTTAGCAAGGAATTTTAAAAAGATGATGTTCTGAGTAGGACTGTAAACGAGCCGAGCCGAGCTTTTAGCTTATCGAGCTCAGCTCGTTTACAATAGTGTTGAGATAAAGCCTGGCGACCCTCAGAATTGAGACTCGAACTTGAGCTCGGTTGAGTTTGAGTCAAGCTCGAGTCAGTTCGAACTTGAGCTCGCAAGCCTGATATCGAGCTCGAGCTCGTTAATCCATTTTGTCATTAACGAGTTCACGATTTGGGCTACTGATTGATAGGATACACGCTAAATCTATTAACTTGGACAACAACAAAATGGGTCATCCACCAAAAGCCTTAAATTTGCCAGGCTAGGCTGAGAAATTTTGTTTTAGTAAAGATACTCATCGTCTGTTGAGGCAGCCAACTTCAAACTTCAACATAAGCACTCTTGACTGAATCCTGGAAAGACATAATCTGTCGATGATGTCACCAAGTCTTGACTACATTCTGACCTTGTGCACCATGTCACTACACTGAATCGCTCTTTAACTTATTCAAGACATCCCTTAGTTGTCGATGCTGCTCATATTATGCACATCATTCATCTGTATCAACAATCCATTCTGGATTTGGGAGTTCTTTGTTTGCGATTTGGGATTTACAGCAAGTGGAAACTGAAATTGATTTGGTGTATTGATTGTATTCGTGTTATACGAATTTGCACTTTTTGGGGGGGGGGGNCCTTTGTCATATTTTATCGTAGACTGATTATTTAATCTTGCCTTCAATGTGTTTTGTCTCTCAATGGCTTTTATCTTCTTCAGTGTGAACACAGAAGCTATAGCCTACAATATTGTCTATGGTCTTAGTGCTGCTGCAAGGTTAGAAGTTAGAATCACTGCATATGAATTCTCTGGTTTCATTCCACATTTTGTTTCAGAAATTTAAAAAGAGAAAACTCACATTTAATTTATGACAGCACGAGGGTGTCAAATGAGTTGGGCGCAGGTCATATCAATCGAGCTAAAAATGCCATGGTTGTGACTCTGAAACTCTCTGTCATCCTTGCTCTTATAATTGATCTTGCACTGGGCTTTGGTCATAACATATGGGCCGGTTTCTTCAGCAACAGCTCGGTAATAATCAAGGGGTTTACCTCTTTGACACCCTTTCTGATAATCTCGATGACTTTAGATGCAATGCAAGGCATATTATCAGGTTTGTGTCATCAAATTTCCTACCTTCAATACGTATATGTAAGTATTTCGATTGTTGACGTAAATTGACAAGATTCCTGTGCAGGAGTGGCGAGAGGATGCGGGTGGCAGCACTTGGCAGTGTGGGGTAACTTAGGGACGTTTTATTTCATTGGCATGCCGATTGCACTACTTCTTGCATTCAAGTTAAAGCTCTATGCAAAGGTGAAACAATGTTAATGAAATTGGTTCATTATGCATAACTTCTGCATTCATATTTATCCTTGTAATGGTTTATTTTGATGCTTCAGGGACTGTGGATTGGGTTAATCTGTGGGCTCTTCAGCCAAGCCATCACCCTATTGTTGATTACAATTCGGCAAAACTGGACTAAATTGGACCTTGGGCCTTAGCAGGTCCAAATACAAAACACCTTTCACGTGCTTAAAGCCATGGCCCAATTCCGAGTAAGCCCACGATAGAACTCGCATAATGGGCTAGCCTATTACGCCAATCAAGTTGTTCACAAATTAAACCCAATTACTAAGGTCCGAATTCGCCTAGGCCTCATCACCAGTTTATTTGGGCCCAAGCCCATCGACCCAAGATCACTCTCAAGAACCACAGTTACTTAAACCCTAAAGTTATCTATTTCCTGTTTTATTACTATCCTGATTCTCCTAGAAAATCCATCAACATCCTAATTCATTTAAGATCTTGAATCTTACATTGAATATGATTCTAACTCTTTCAAAAGCAGGTGAATCAAGGATTTTCCTATTCACTAAACCTCAACCACTATGGACTCATAGTCCTACTAGGATTTGGAGATCCTATGACTATTATATAAACAAAGGCATGTCTTCTCATAATTCATTCGACATTACACCTTCAAACCCCCTAGTTCTCACCCTTGAGAGTTATACATCAATGTCGTAGTTCTAGTCTCCGACTAAACTTTTGGTAACTCTATCTTTCTCTTGCCCTCACTAAATTAGCCTTATTTAGTCTTACTGACTTTGAGCGTCGGAGTGCCTACGACAAACACCACCCCAGGTGTTTCCTGTTCACTTCACGCATGTTTATTCGTGTGCGCAGGTGTAGCGGATTGCTAGTGGCCTCAACCTCACGGGATCAGACCCTCTTCTGTAATCATATATTTTATCGTCTACAGAATTTTGACATACGATATCTCAAATATTATGTTCAATATTAAAGGGCTTCAGGTTTTCCTATACTAATAAATAGTACATTCATATCCATATGTACTCAAAAAAATCATTCATAGCTTTTTCATATTTAAGGCAGGAGAACGACTCACACCTACCTAGAGTTTGCTATAAAGACAAATTGGTATCCAAAAAGTTTTGAAATGACAAATACCCACATTCTGTCAGAGTTTGTTATTAAAAACCATTTGAAAAATGACAGGATGATAATTTTTTATATAGCTAGAAAATCTAACACTATGTCCACACCTCCGCCAAAACCTCTACCATGGCTAGAACCACGGTGGCCTGGAAAAAAATGGTTCTACATGAGAAACCAGTATGAATATAACCTACATTTCCAATTGAACTATGAGTTACAGGTCTTTTTACTTTCGTTTGCGCTATGGCAGCTAGTGCTCCTTAGATCATAGAAGTAATGCTGCAGAAAATGAAGATTTTTTGCAATGTAGCTCCATAGGAACCATAAATAGAAACACGAGAAATATTAGCAGAAATCGAGATTTCAGGCGTGAGGTAGTTTAGGAACAGAACTTAAATACATTATGTCTTTTAAGAAATTAATAGAGACGAGATTTATTTACTGTGACGCAGCACAAGGGTGTCAAATGAATTGGGAGCCGGAAATGTCAATCGAGCTAAGAATGCCATGGCTGGGACTCTTAAGCTCTCTGTCCTCCAAGCCCTACTTGTCTGTGCTTAGCCTTCGGTCACAATATCTGGGCTAGTTTCTTCAGTGACAGCACCGAAATAATAAAGAAGTTTGCCTCTTTGACACCACTTCTTGCACTTTCGATAATGTTGATTCTGTGCAAGGGGCTTATCAGGTTTGTATCATCCAATTTTCTATTACAACATACATAACTTCAAGCAAAGTGTTTATCAATCCAAGAGGTTTATGGTGCAGGTGTGGCGAGAGGTTGCGGTTGGCAACATTTGGCGTGTGGGCTAACTTAGCAACATTCTATTCATTGGCATGCCAACTGCAGTGCTTTGGATTTAAGTTGAAGCTTTATGCTAAAGTAAGCACTGGCTACACAGAAGTTCTCATTTCTTGTTCTTTCAATCACTGATCTAATGATTTATTTGGTACAGGGCTGTGGATGGTTGATCTGCGGTCTGTTCAGCCAAGCCACTCTCTCTATGATTACGTTGTGGTCGAAAATGGACTAAAATGGCCATTCTTCCAAACAGAGAAAATGAAAGCCCAAACTTTGCCAACTTGTAAAACTTTTCTCAACTCAATTCAGAAATAGAGATGATATGGTGGCTTGCCAGCTACTTACTGATTCGGCAGCCAACAGTAAATGTATGTAAGTGTATTGGGTAGTGATTATAATGTCTTGTACTCATATATATGATGGTAGATTCAATCTCTCATTTTCTCTTTCACAAGATATTTGATTTGCAACCAGCATGATCTGTTGTTTGTCATACAATCCAGATTTAGGCCTTCCATTTTCTATACAGCATTCTTCATATCATATTACATGCAGGGATAAAATCTGAAAATTTGATCTATTTGTAGCATGTGTACAATAGAATTCAATAATTCATCCTCACCTCTTAGTCCTGTTAGTTCTCTACTTCTATACTTTCCATCTGGGGTATGGGCTTTTGAGATGATTGTCTCACCCAAAATGGATGCCGAATTGGGGTATTGGGTTGTGAGCTGGACTAAAAAAAAGTAAGCTGAACATTATTGTACTTTAAATAAGTTCTTTGTTGTTAGTTTCATAGTTAATTTAGCTCCATCTTAATCAAAGTTGGCATACTCTTTTTTTAATTTTTTATTTTTTATAAATAAGATATTTAGTTTAATTTACGCTTACTCGACTAATATTAAAAAAGACTAGATAGTAATCCACTGCCCAATCCCTGGTTTCAAAGTTGGAATACCGTTTGATACCAAGGACCATTAATATTCTACCAATAACTTCACAAGCTATAAAGATGGTTTCTGCTTCTTCAACCTCAATAATGTTATATGGATATTCAAACTTCTGGTCCATTACGTTGAACTTGATATTAAAAGTTGTTTAAAATTCAACAATTTCTGATGTAGTTAGAGACGAGTTGATAAGTACCTGATTCTACCATGCGGTGCCTAAATCAGAAGGCAATCTGGCTACCCGACACTGCAACTAACAGTCAAATTCTAAATGAGTGAAAGGAAGGGTCTGTCAGCGTCACAAACACAACATATCAAAACGTGATAAATTTTTGCGAAAATTAAACCTGAAAGGCGTCAAAAGCTGGCAGATTCGAAAAAAATAAAAATAAAATGAAGATTGATTAGAAATATTATTCCGGAACAAATCCCAAAGTGCCACTTATTCAACACTGTACTAACATCCACACAAACTCCTCTTATTCAAACACTGTACTAACATCACACACACACACACACACCATCTATAATATATATTATATATATATATAATTTTTCCGCCTTTTTTTCGTGCACATCCATTTAATTACATTGTGTTAAAATTAGATGTTGATTGCAATATATCAAGGTATATGCCAGTTTCCGATTATTCTACATATAAGTATATAAATGTTTCATGTTCCTTCATTTTGACTTGGTTTATATTGTTTCTTGTTCTTTGAATACCTTCAAGATAAGGGTTATCAAACACAAGTGGTAAATGGTGGAAGTGGAACACGTGTTAGAGGCTACTGGTCATCGAGATGGAGAAGAAACCAGCAGGGAAAGTTGGTGGAAGAAACTTTTGGACGTGGAAGAAGCCAAGAATCAAGTTTTGTTTTCCCTGCCATGATTCTTACTAATGTTATATACTCAGCCATACTTTGGTTTCGTTCATGTTTGCCGGTCACCTTGGCGAGCTTGAGCTTGCTGGAGCCACCTCGCCAACTCTGGGCCGTTGTCTCTGGCTTCGCTTTAATGGTAGCCACCACTTATCTCTTATTAGTTTCTGCATTTGCTGCATATATGAGTGTTGTTCATAAAACATGTAGATATTTAATCCACCATGTCTTGAAATTAAGTATTAATCTGCAACTTGAAGAAATGATAGTGAAAAAATGTCCATTCCAATCCATATAATCCATAGACTAATTGCTTCTGTTTGATTTTTTTTTTTTTCTGTTTGATTCATCCCATGCCTCGTTAGATTTATTTCCTCTCTGTTCTTGTTGTAGGTGGGGTTAAGTGGAGCACTTGAAAAACTTTGGCCAAGGATTTGTGGGGATTATACAGAATGTTGGGATATATCTACAAGCTTCCTGCATAATTCATTTTTCTTCTCAGTGGTATCCATTGTTTGGTTCTATACTGAATCTATTCTTATTTTGCTCATCAGATTTGCTATTGCAAAACAAGCAGCTCTTTTGTGAAGTATCTTATTCCTGGTCTATTTGCTTATGCTTTTTTACAAAACATTTTAAGGTTTCTTCAGACAATCCATTGTCCTGCCATTGGTAGTGTGTTCAGCTATACCAATGGGCATTCATTTGGGATTGCATATGCTTTTGTTTATGTACATCCCTTGGCTTCAAGGGTGCTGCACTGGCAGCTCAGTTTCGTTATGGATATCGTGCTGTTGTTGGCAATTTATGTCCTTCGCGCGAAGAAGTTTGAGCATACGTGGAAAGGATTTTCTCGTGAATCATTCAGTTCCATCCTTCCAAACTTAAAAATAGCTCTGCCTTCTGCAGCAATGGTATGGTAAGTATTGCCAAATCTTCTTTAGTCTTTAGTCTTTTCTTTAATTTAAGTTTATTAGACCACAAACCCACTTTTTCTATCTCAATCATGGCCATAAAGTTAGAACTTAACTGATGTACAGAGTTCATTATAAAGAATCATAGCAGAACTAAATTCTATACTTTTTAGCTTGGAGTATTGGGCTTTTGGATTTGGTGATTTTAGCTGGATTGATGCAAACTCAGAAGTAACTACTTCATTGATTGCAATGTGGATGCTTCAATTTTCTATAGTTTTTTTTTTTGAAAATTTTCTAGCAAAGTCTTCAGCATCACTATCTTGAAGAGAAAGAAGATAATTAAAGATGTTACCAGACACAGGTTTAGATGGTGGTACACTGTCGTTAGAGGGTGCAGATGATGATGATGTACAAACTTGGTGGTCGAAGAAAGTTTTGGACGTGGAAGAAGCAAAGAATCAAGTGTTGTTTTCGCTACCAATGATTCTTACTAATGTTTTCTACATTGCCATCCTTTTGATTTCTGTAATGTTTGCCGGTCACCTTGGTCAACTTGAGCTTGCTGGTGCCACACTTGCCAATTCTTGGGCCACTGTCACTGGTTTCGGTTTCATGGTGAGATTCAAACACATGATTTGAGTGCCTCTAGTACGCTTAATTTTGTTCTTGTTTCTGATTGATAATTTTGGTTGCTATATGAGTTATTTAGTTGCATTAATGTTATATTGCTTCAATGGTAAATCAATCAGTTTATCAAAATTCCAATGAAATTCATTGTTGTGAGTGAATTAGCTCTTCATGAAGTAAATTTTTTCTAGATTGTGAAGGAAATTTGACTATTGGTTAATCCTTATCCACTGGGGCATTAATGGTGGGTGCAATATCTCTCCCTCTCTCTTTCAAGATAGGTGTGCAATTTCATGTGCATTTTCCTTGTTTTCTTGTGAGATTAAGGCCTTTCTACAATCTTGGGAGTATTTGATCATCAGAATTTTACCATGATAATCTATAGGTTCATTTTCATGATAATTATAATCTACAGGCTTATCATCTTGCTGCTGCTTGATTTTTTGTTTCGATGCTTCTTTGACTATTTCTTCTCTGTTATTGTGGTAGGTGGGGTTGAGTGGAGCACTTGAAACACTTTGTGGTCAAGGATATGGGGCCAAATTATACAGGATGTTGGGAATATATCTACAAGCATCATGCATCATATCGCTCTTCTTCTCGATAATCATATCCATCTTATGGTTCTTTACAAAGCCTATACTTGTTTTATTTCATCAAGATCCCAGTATTTCAAAACAAGCAGCTGTTTATATGAGATATCTCATTCCTGGTATATTTGCATATGGCTTTTTACAAAACGTCTTAAGGTTTCTTCAGACACAATCCATTGTTA